AGTTTGGCTGTCTCTCAATGATATCTGTTGTATCTGACATATAATCAAGCTCCAACTCAATCTCTATGCTGCCATCAGAGCCCAAGATATTCCACAGACGAGACTCAGAGCTTTCAGACATCCTCCAACTTTTCAGTCAAGGAACACCCAGGATTGCCATTTTGGGTGCAGGTGGAATGGGAAAGACTAGTCTTGCAAGAGCTGTCATCCATGATACAGAAATTACTGAGAGATATAATCAGCATCGGTTCTTTGTTGCTTGTGATTCAGCAGCAACCCAAGTAGAACTTGCTGCTCTTATAGGAGCTCATGTGGGACTGAAGCTGGGAAAGGACATTACTTGCCCGGTCATCCAATACTTCTCCAGCAGCTCAGATGGTCTCCTGGTTCTAGATAATCTTGAGTCATTGTGGGAGCCAATTGAGTCCCGAGCCAAAATAGAGGAATTTCTGTCACTGCTCACAGGTGTGGACCATCTTGCATTGTTGGTAGGTCTTCAAAGGCTTGTCACCTATGCTTTCAGCTGATGATGTTCAGATTACAATGCGAGGAGCAGAAAGACCTGCTAAAGTGGCATGGACTCATCCATTTCTACCACTGTTGAAGCCCTTGGAACAAGCTGCAGCACGACAAACATTTATAGATATCACAGACAACACACATGATCCAGATGAGGTTGACAAAGTCCTCTCTCTTACAGACAATATGCCTCTTGCAATCAGTCTCATAGCTCATTTGGTTGACTCTGAGGGCTGCTCCCATGTATTATCCCACTGGGAGGAGGAGAAAACATCCTTGATCTCAGATGGATATGACAGAACATCCAACTTGGACTTATCTGTTTCAATGTCCTTGTCAAGTCCTAGACTCAAGTCCCATTCAAAAGATCTCCTGAGCCTCCTGTCAATGCTCCCTGATGGTCTTTCAGATGTTGAGCTTGTGCAGAGCAAGCTCCCAATTGATAATATCCTGGGTTGCAAAGCAGCTTTGATTTGTACCAGCTTGGCCTACAGTGATGAACACAAACGGCTGAAAGTATTGGTACCTATCAGAGAGTATATGCAGAAAATTCAGCCACCTGGGAATCACCTCATCAACCTCTTCTCAAATATTTCCAGGAATTACTTGAGTTATATGCGGAATACCGTGGAACTCAATCAGGTTCAAGCACTATGTTCGAGTATCATCAAACTACTCAAACATACAGAATGTCCTCCAGAATGGATTGAAACAGGGTCATCCAGACTAGTAAATAGCATTTATTGTACATGCTATCTGAATACCTCAGCATACGCACTGGGCAAGGAGCTACATATCTCATTCAAGAGATTCAAAATGTCTCCCACATCCTTGTGCATCGTCTTGAGGCATACTTATTATAGAGTTGCTCAACTCATGGATCTTCATTCCATTTCAATCCAGAGACATTGGCTTCTGATGCCTGGAACACTTCAAAGAGTTTGATGACCTAGATCTTAAATGTATGCTCTCTGATGATTGCTGGTCTGTTGAGACTAATGTGAGTTCGCACAGGCAGATTCTATAATGTTTTGTCAACTATTATAGATAAAGGGTGATATGTCCTCTGCCGAACTTTTTGTGAGGCTGCATATCTTTAGCACTTTCAACTAAGAACACAAATGCATTCCCAAGGATTGCAAAACCTTGCATGGGTTGATTTACCCTTGGTGATTACTTGAAGCTCAAGTGCATGCAAAGGAGGCCCAGAGACTGGCCATAATTTCTGCAAATTTATACAGAGAAGCACTGGCACTCCAAATTGAGGCATTTGCTGCTATACATTGGGGAACTACACTAAAGCCATGTCTCTCTGCATTAGGGAAGAGACTTTTAGGTCTTTGTGCATGTCTGGTGGAGCCTTAGACCATGGCTCATGACCACTCAGGCAGAAGTCCACAGTGCAAATCAGAAATGTTGAGGCTCGCAGTATCCATACTAGGATTCTTGAAGGAACACTATACAGGATCCCACACTATGGTTTGCTTTATTAATACATGAATTGATTTGTTGATTGGTGCTCCAAAGAATGATGTGCGAGGAATTGTGACAGAGCCAGAAAATGTTGGACACTGTGGATGAGGTTGAGGGAGTGGCATGTGTGATGTTATTCTTGCAGATTCTACCTGAGGGACAGAAATTCACTGGCAGCCAAGACTGTTTTGAAAAAGTGCCTTGAATTATTTGGAATACTCCCAAATCCAAACTTTTGTCTGGAGCGGCTTGGTGATGCAGTTGCTGGGGTGATGTGGATGGGATGTCTGCTGGACAGTTGTTTATCTTGTGAATTCTCTCAAAGAAAAGAGAAGCTTGGAATTTCAGGCACTCCATCCTTAGGAGATATCTTCTCTACCAGAATGATGAGCATACAGCCACCAATTTGTTCACAGTTGCTCTGGAGGGATTTATCCAGATGGATGTCCATCGTGGCAGAGCTGAATGCATGCTTCGACTCGGAGACATTTCCATGGGCATGGCAACCTGCTCAAGGCAGTGGATTTCTGGGATGGAGCAAGACCCTGTTTGAACGTTCCTCACAGGCCAAACAGGTTAACCGTATCAATGAGAGACTTGCCAATATCAGCAAAGATGTGCTGAAGCAACACAGAAACTTGGCTCATCTGCCAGAGCTCAATGCACATTTGGGACTGTAGAGGAACTGGAGGCTGATCTGTCTGACATTGAAGACCTGGATAAGGTGGACATTGGGGATGAGAAAGAGCTTGATTTGATTGTGGCCTGAGGCTTCCACAAATTGTATGCTTTTGACAGTGATTTTTATGTTGTTATTTGTGCTATATGTGTCTCCAGTCTATTTGAATTTATTCCCACAGCCCTTCGAGGCTCCCCCCACGAGATTCAAGAGGCAAAATGTCTCAGAATAGCATTCTAAACTAAAATGAGTCCCTAGATCAAGTACTCTCCAGCCTTTCCATCCCAATCACTTCCCTGGTTTTCAGGTAGTGGCCCAATGCCAGCTATAGGTGTCCTGCTTGGACTAAATATGGATTTGGCTTTCGAAAAATAGATCTCGTTTTCAAACCATGATCATCGTGATCACTGTCGAAAGTGAGAACTGAGCTGTATTTTTGAGCATCTTTCGGGCTTGACTTGAGCGAGCTGGGTTATATTCATCCCAATGTTGTGATCTATTGACTCCGTACGTTATTTCTCCCTGACTTTATTCTCCCAGTTTGACTTCAACTTTGATATCAGATACTGTCCCTTGAATTAAACTTCAGTGAGGTGATGGTTTCTTCCTTTCCTCTTTGTACTCGAAAGGTACTCTGCGAGCAGCGGTGAGACTTGGCGCTCAAGATAGGATCATGCGGTGGACCATGATAGCTTTGCAATGCTGTTATTACATAGTACTAATAAATTGGATTTGATACCTCAACCTAACTGAAACCACTCAATCAGAGCAATTGAATGGAAGCACCCAAGCTGAGTGTAAGATACACTCAAGCTGAGGGTAATTTCTGCCAAAACTCAATCTCCTGATAGTCAGTTACCAATTGGGTTGATTGGGTCGTTCACTCAGCTCGATGCAATTGGCGTAATCATGTTGATTGAATCCATTGAATCATCCCGATTGTATATCCTCCTACAGTGTGCTTGACCAGGACCCAAGGGTAGGCAGTCGGAGATTGAGAAAAAAAAAGGAGGAAAAACCGTTGTGGATGCCTCTGGAGGACTCGAACCCTCAACTCTCTTTTTTTTTTTTTTTTTGGTGGTATGATAATGGTCAACTGCAACTAACAATGGGTTAGCCGGCGACCCGTAAAGGTTGTGTGTAAAGAAATTAGGGGTGTGCTTCACCTCCCAGACAAATGCCACACGCACGCCCTTTGAACCTCAACTCTCCATCATCGTTGATCAGTGCATCACTCCATATATCAGGAGCGTCTTACCACAGACCACAGAGGCTTGATTGCTGTGATCAGAATACACAAACTCTTGATTTGAACATGATCTTCGGATGCGCAGCATGGAAATTCAAGATAGGCCAAAGATTCACAGGAAGAAACAGGGGGAAAAAAGGAATTCATGCGTTTTCAGTGCCTCGGAGGGAATCGAACCTTCAACCTTCCAAATTCTCACATTCATCTCTATGAATAAATAGAAAGTGTTTACCACAGACCACAGAGGTATTATAAGAAATGCCAAAGGTCAAAACTGAGACGCTCTGGCTCGGGAAAAACTTACACCATAACTGTCGCGTCACCGAATTACAAGCGAGAAGGAGAGGGAAGAAAAATTCGCAATGGCACCATAAGCTTCCGGAGGATCCGAACCCTCAACACTTCGGGGACAAGCATGTCCACATAACACAAATCTGAAGTGTCTCATCGCAAGACACAGTGGATTGATTGCTCTGGAATTAGCACTTACTCATGGAAGAGGGGTTGAATTTGAACTCAGTATCTTGCAGATTCAAGATATTCTTCCGGTCTGGACCAACCGGCGTGGAAATTCAAGTTAGCACATTCACACAACAACAAAAAAAAAATTCACCTTGCCACATTTCATGCCTTGGAGGGATTTGAACCTACCATTATCAATACGGACACCACCATATATATCAAGAGTGTCTTACCGCAGACACAGAGGCTTGATTGCTGTGAAGGTTAGCACTTGATCACAGGATGCACACTGTCTTAGTCTTAGGGATTTGAGGATGATTGCGCGGTGCAACAATTGGGAGTTCAAGTTAGCACAAAATTCACACCAATAGAAAAAGACAAAATGAAAATTTCCCTCATCATGCTCTGGAGCGATTCGAACCTCGACCCTCCAAATTCCACTCTATTAATAAATTGGGGGTGTCTTCGCAGACCACAGAGTATTATAAGAGATACCAAAATCAGGCACGTAGGTCTCACATTCGAGACACTCGGACCTTGGACTTGGAAAAACTCGTTACTCGAATTACAGGTGAGAAGGAAGAAGACTTCAAGGAAGAAAAGACACAACACCTAACATGCCTCCGGAGGATTCGAACCCACGACCTCCCAATTCTCACGTTCCTCACTATGAGTAAATCGGGAGTGTCTTACCACAGACCACAGAGGCATTATAATAGATGCCAAAATCAGGCACGTACTGTACTATTAAAATCATTCGTAGTCACGCATCACGGGGTGCTTGACGTGATGAATTTTGGAACTTTGTCACGCATCACGGAGGCTCTTGACGAATATACTTTTCGTTACAGTCGGTTCAAATTTCGGCTCAGGGCTGTCTGAGCAAGTTCTTAGCTGTGGACACTCTCCCTACAATTTTGTCGCCATATTCAAGTTTCTGTTTCATACTCACAAATATCGTGCTTCAGACCAATTCAACCCAAGTTTAACAGTGAAATTAGATTTTTTCCTGTTCAACAACAGATTTGCTCAAAAATTTTCTCAGATGATTCCTAAGTCATCCTAATGGTATTCTACATGCCTTTCAACCCTGGAATATTTCAGTGGTTGACGAAATTTTTGGGGGTTGTCACGCAGCTGGGGACCCTTTGACGAATTGACGAATGATATCTCGGGTCACGCATCACACCCCTTGACGAATTGAATTTAATAGTACAGTAGGTCTCACATTCGAGACACCTGGATCTTGGACTCGGAAAAACTCGTTACTCGAATTACAGGTGAGAAGGAGAAGCAAATTCAAGGAAGAAAAACCAGCAGACCGAATAGTTATGCTCGGAGGGATTCGAACTCAACTCCCTGCAATGCAACATATGATAGACTGTATAACAACAGGTGTCTTAAGCAGACTACGGAGGTTGAGGCCTGACTCTTCAGGAAATGAAGGCTGGGGGGGTGGGAGGAGTATGGGTTTGAATTCGACTCGGAGTTCATTTGTACGGTGAATAGTTATGCCTCCGGAGGGATTCGAACCCTCAACTCCCTGCAATGTAAATATGATAGACTGTATAACACAGGTGTCTTAAGCAGACTACGGGGCTTTGAGGCCTGACTCTTAGGAAATGAAAGGCTGGGGGGGTGGGAGGAGGTTATGGGTTTGAATTCGACTCGGAGTTCATTTGTACGGTAATAATCAGAGTCAGTTTCTCTAAGATGGATGTACACTCGGACATTAGTCGGACTCGTACTCCGAGCCAAGGAAAGAAGTCGGAGACAAAGAGAAAGAAAGAAGGGGGGAAAACCATATTTCATAAAAGCTATATGCCTCAGGAGGGACGCGACCCTCGATTCTCCTTCTCGCGTACCAGTAGATTATATATAAGGGTGTTTTACCGCTAGACTATGGAGGCGGTGCTTGCTGTCGACGCAGCACAGAGACTGGGAGATAACATTGGATACCGTGTTATTTGCGTAACATAAATTGAAGGGCAAACTGCCAGATTGAGCACATACATATATAATCCAAGGAAGGAGTCGGAGACGGAAAGAAGAAAAAAGCGTGAGCTATCAAAGCCATGCCTCCGGAGGGATTCGAATCCTCGACTCTTTGATATAAGCTCTTTCGAAGACTAAACAACCAAGCATCTTACCACTAGACCACGGAGGCGTCGCTTTCCGTGTTTGCACGTTGTGATAGTGACAAAATTGGATCCGATTTTATTGGTGAATAAAAATATAAAGGTAATGCGATCTGCGACGTAGAATTTGAGCTTGAGCATGTACGCGGATGCAATGGGAGGAGGGAACGAGGAAATGGAAGGAGGAAAATGGGAAGGAGGAAAGTCTGGAAAGAGAAAGGGAAAAAAAAAGGAGATGCACGAATATTCATGCCTCCGGAGGGAATCGAACCCTCAACCCCTGCAATTATTTCCCTTGAAAAATGTTATAACATCAGGGTGTCTTACCGATAGACTACGGAGGCATTCGTTGTCTTTCTTTACGTGACCTCCAGTGACACCGCCAATGGCTAGAGAGAGGGACGAGTGATTGACGTCACTTCAAGAATAACATCACGAAGGCGCTCTTCCTCCCACCACGTCGCGCACGAAACAACATTTTCTCTGCTTTGTTCAGTGACTTCAGTCTACACATGACGACGGAATGTCGCCGATAATCCGAAGTGCGCTAGCTTGATGTGGATTCCAGAAGAGGGATAAGAAAGAAAATGAATGTTTGTCGCACATCGGTTCTCGGATTCCTAGATGCCAATTGGGATGAGTGAGGTATATCCGAGGAGCACGCACGCGCGTTAACGAGTCCAGCCCGTCTATGTGTAGGTAATCAGACACCCGGCGCAATCCAAGGGACGCGCGTTGAGGGGTCGAGAACGAGGCGCATAGGCTCGGCTTGCATGCCAGCTTGATGCCAGCGCGCGACAGGGACGAGGGTGATCCGGCATTCTTGACTCTTGACTCGGAACGCGTCGACGGCAACCTTCTTTTGCGATAAACTGCAAGCACTGTCGTACGATGGCGGACGTGCGCTTCTCTGGTGCAGCATATCCATTCGCACCACAGCTTTCGGTCACCCTAGCTCGTTCTTCTCTTCCCTGTCCGCCCCTTCACCACCCGATGGACTCAGGACTGTATATTCCCCAAAGCATTCTAAAGGGCCACGTTCGTGAATCGGACCGATCTTGGCATGCCTCACACGTCACGATACTGTGGGCTGCTTCCTGGTATCAAGTGAAGCCAAAATGAATCTGTGGGTCCCAATCGCGCGATAAAATTCGCATGTCGAGCTTGTTCTAGGAGCCCCTGCGATGCTCGACAAGCTCTCTTTTGGTTGGGCTCGGCTCCCTCTCGCGTTCCTCGCCACCTCGCCGCACTGTGCCCCTCCCCTCCCACATCTTCCTCCCCGCGCTCCTCACCTTCTGCGCGCTCTACCCCTCACTGAGCCGCCCCTTCCCCAGCGTGCGCCAGCGTGCGTGGCTCCTCATGGGCGTCGGGTCGTTCATGACGTGCGCTGCGCTGCCATGGGAGGGGAGCAGGAACTGGGGCGTAGGGATAGTATAGCCGAAGGTGGGCGCGGCGGTTGCTGTTAATCGGGGTTTTCAGGTGCTTTCTCTTCCCTTCTACTCTTCTACTCTACTCCTTCCTCGTATCCGTCCTCCGTGTAGACTCACTAACACCCCCACCCCAGGCCTACCTCACAGCAGACATGCTCATCGGCTTCCTCCACTACCGCGCACAGATCGGGTTCCTCACCGGTTGGGTGCACCACGTCGTCTACGTCGGCATCACAGAGATTGCGATACGGTGGGGTGGGCACATGTGTTTTGTTTGTGTGCGGTTGTGGAGGTGTGTGCGGTTAGGGCTTGCCCGTTGCCGTTGCCACGGGTCGACAGCACCCGTTGAATGGGTGCCGTGCCCGTTCCGTCAGTCATTTTGTTGCCTCGCCGACAGCCGTCGAAAAACGGCCGCCACGGGTGTTGCAACGGGTCCACGGCTTACCTCACTAACCTCCGCCTAACGGTGCACTGGAACACGGCACCCGACTTCACGTAACCGACCGTACTCCAACCGTGTCATCGTAGGCCATCACCGCTTTGACAAATTACCCCATTTTTTTGCTCGCGAGAGGGAGATTGAGCTTAGCGCTGGGCTAGCGCCCAGCATCATGCTTACATACTACAGCGCCACCGTCTATTTCGTCATTGATTTCGTCTCTGTTCGGTATGTTCCTCATATGCTCTCCCCAGTTGGTTCTATGTTCATTTTATGCAGATCGTACCGCTGAAACTGACCCAAAAAATCAGATTCTGCGCGGTGTACCCGTTAAGCCGTGTACCGTCAACGGCCGTGCCGTCAACGTCCCGTCCGTCAGAGGTTTGGAAATACAAAAAACGGCCGTCGAATCGACGGCTGTTGCCGTTGCGGCAACGGGTGGAAGCCCTAGTGCGGGTATTTTGTGTGTTGGGAATGTTTCGCGTGCGTGTATGCGTCGCGTCGCCTTGAGAGGACCGTTGTGCGATGCAGGCGGGACGCGGTGCAGTGCTCGCCCTTTCCCTTCCCGCTCGAGCCTCCCTCCCCTTTTCTTCCACCTCCCCCCGTCCCCTTCCTCTTTACTCCTTGCTTCCCCCCTTTTCCGCCCCCGCTTACCCCTGACGTTTTGTTTTTGTTTTCAGCTTCCGACCTTCCTCCTAAGCCTCTCCACGCTCTTCCCGTGCACGTGCTCCAACACGCTCTTCGCGGTCACCTTCATCGCGACGCAGATCGTGTTCCATTTGGTGCTTGTTGGGGAGTTTCTGGGGTGCGTTTTATTTTTCTTTTTTTTTTTTTTGTTCCCCTACACTCTTCCCACTGCTTGATTCCTCTTTCGCGTGTCGTTGTTCCCGTTCGCTTCGATTTTCTCTCCCCCCTTTACGTGCGCGGCGGAGTACGCATGTCAGCGGGGTACACCTCTCCTGCAGTGCGACCACGCGATCGTAGAACGTAGGAGGAGCAGCACCTCACCCAGGTCGATGATTGCTAGGGCGTACGGACCACCTCAATATGTGATCCTTTCGCGAAATATATCGGCAACTTTCGTGGAATGCTTCGCGAAATGTTTCGGCAAACCATATATAGTATTCAGCGGGCTCTGTTTGTTCCAGAGGTCTATGGGCGGCTTCACGGCACTGCAGCAGGCCATCAAACAAGCCGCTGCCTTCACTTAGCAGTTTATCGGAGTATATCGGGAACTCGGGAGCTTCGGAAAGCACTTAATACCACGTGATAAGTTGCCTAAACGAGCACAAAATGTCAATAGCATCCCGCCCACTGCCGCTGCCCGTGCCCGCCTGCCGCTGCCCACTAGCATTCCCACCCTGCGCCTCACATCACCCGTGTCCTCCAACGGCCTCCCATTCATGCAACCTCTTAGCGTGCGCCGCCCGCCACCCGCCCGCTGCCCGCCGCCGCCGCGCTTCCCAATTCAGCAAAAGCTCGCCGGCGGTGCGCACGGCTGCGAGGGTGCACGCCGCTCGCTCGCTGCGCGCCCGCGTCCCCCAGTTCCCAAAAGGGGGGAAAAATGGGCCCGCCCAAAAGCGGCGGCGAGCGGGGCCGTATCGGGGTCGCGGCATCGACGTGGCGGGGTCACGAGGAGCAACCTGGGGCATGATGTTGAGGGTGCGCGCCCCGCATGCCCAGTTCCAAAAAGGGCGGGAAATGGGCCCGCCCAAAAGCGGGTGGCGAGCGGGGCCGTATTGGGGTCGGCGGGTCGATGGTGGGCGGGGTCATGAGGAGCAACCTGGGGCATGATGTTGAGGGTGCGCGCTCGCTCGCTGCGTGCCCTGCATGCCCAGTTCCAAAAAAGGCGGGAAATGGGCCGCCCCAAAAGCGGCGGCGAGCGGGCTGTATCGGGGTCGGTGGCGTCGACGGTGGCGGGGGCACGAGGAGCAACCTCAGGCATGATCTTGAGGGTGCGCCCGCTCGCTGTGCGCCGCGTGGCCAGTTCCAAAAAGGGGCAAAATAGGCCCGCTCCAAAAGCGGGCGGCGTATCGGGGTCGGCGGCGTCGGCGGTGGGTGGGGGTCACCAGTAGCAACCTGAGGCATGATGTTGAGGGTGCGCGCCGCCGCATGCCCAGTTCCAAAAAGGGGGGAAAATGGGCCCGCCCAAAAGCGGGCGGCGAGCGGGCCGTATCGGGGTCGCGGGGTCGCGGTGGGTGGGGGTCACGAAGTAGCAACCTGGCATGATGTTGAGGGTGCGGCAGCCGCATGCCGTTCCAAAAAGGGGGAAAAATGGGCCTGCCCAAAAGCGGCGGCGAGGGGCGTATCGGGTCAGCGGGGTGGGCGGGGGTCACGAGGAAACCTGGGGCATGATGTTGAGTGGTGCGCGCTCGCTGCGCGCCGCGGATGCCCCAGTTCCAAAGGGGGAAAATGGGCGCTCCAAAGCGGGCGCGAGCGGGGTATCGGCGGTGGCAATGTGGGTGGACTTGGGCATGCGCGCCCACTCCTGAGATCTTGGAACCCCAAAGCGAGCTCTTAATATATAATCCTAATTTTGTTTTAAATACTTCGCGCAACCTATAATATAGTTAGTTAAAAAATTGAAGCACAAAAACAAAACAAGCAAAAAAGCCTCTCACAATGAATCCCGTATTCACCCCAAACCAAGCTCCGCTCAATCGTCGTTGCTTCCCCGAACAGGAACTCTTCATCCGAGAGCCCACCACGCAAGTCGTTTAGCTCGTCTTCGTCGTCTTCTAACCCCATCCCATCGTCCTCGCGGCCTCCCCCCCCCTCCACGGCAACATCAGCTCGTCCTCCTCCACCACCCGTTGCCCGCTTTCCTCGCCCCCTTTGCACCTCCGACATCGAAATCTCCGCGCGGGCGGCAATATCGCGATACATCACGGCCTGCTTCATCGCGTACGCAACGGCCCCTTCCGCCAAGTCCGGCGCCACGACGCCCAGTGGAATCCTGCGCACTCGGTCCTCCCATTCTGTCGCGCGGAACTCCATCGAAACAGGCAGCCGGCGGCCTCTTCTTCGACCAAGCCCCTTCCTCGCCCCATCGACGCGTTCGAGCATATGATTTTGACCATTCAATACGCAACGCTGAAACGAGCATGAGCACGGCATCATCAAGTCCACAGAAACAACTGACCTTCTTCTAAATCGGCATCCGTCCCCCCCGTACCCGCTGCTGTCCAGATCCATGACACCTCGCATACGTTCTCCCCACCTCGCGCCGCCCGTTCTCCGCTCTCCTCTGCAGTCAATGGTGCTAACAGCCCATCTTCTCGTAATCCCTCTTCACGCCGCTCGCAGCGCTCCTGTTGTTTCTTCTGCTTATCTGCGTTCCGCCGCAACTCCTCTGGATCTTCCATACAACGAATGTCCTCTTTTCGTAGGATCCGCCATCCGACCTTTCTTGCGTCCCCGTTCGCCAGCAGCCGTTTTGCTTCCCATGCCATTTGATATTTCTCTGAGTGCAAGC